TCCTTGAGCAGGGGAGCACTATAAGTTATTTTAAGGCGCCCTGGTGGTGTAGTGGGCTACACATTGGACTGCTAATCAAAAGGTCAACAGTTCTAGCCCACCAGTCACTCTGAGGTGGAGACATGAGGCTTTCTGCTTATTGAAACTTACACAGGGTTGCTATGAGTCAGAACCAACTGGAAGGCACACAACCACCACCAGTCATTTTACAGTTCCTAAGAGCTAAATTCATATATTTCTCCTATTTGTTATTCCCAAGAATCCAAAACTAACTCAAAGACAAATAAAATGAAAAATCTGGGAAGTTCAGTACAACACAAATATAACCGGATGATAAACTGAAAGCAGAAGTTAGCAAAGCAATTGCTTACCTGGTTACCCTGTGACTGCTGTATTGTAACGAGAGAGAAGGGGGGATGAAAAAAACATGTCTTTTAAATGTCTTTACTCATAAAGTACAAAGGTCAAATATACAAGGGGTTTCAATAAGGTTGTGGGGAAAAATCCATTATCTGCATACCATTCTTCCACAAACTTTCCTAAGTCCTCATATTTTCCCCATCTTTAAAAAACATAAGATTATTTTCTTCTAATCCTACTTAATTTTTTATTGACAACATTTAAAATTTATTAACTTTAGTTCTCCAATGATCAGAGTAGGCTTTTTTTAAAAAAGCAAAGCTTCCAAGTACCTAGGGAAAAAACATTTCTCAGTTAAGACTATCATAAATCTTGCCCTTTTTATACTTAAGTTTTAGTTCCTAAGTTTTCAAAAACACTCAAAAAATCCTAATACAGACACACTGACAAACATTATTATTTTCAAAGCCCATGGCAAAGGAGCTCTGGTTGCGTAGTGGTTACAAATTGGCTGCTAACTTCAAAGTCGGCAGTTCAAAACTACCAGCTGTTCTGTAGGACAAAGACAAAGTTTTTTGCTCCCGTAAAGATTTGTAGCCTTGGAAACCCTGTACAGGGTCACTATGAGTTGGAACCGACTCCACTGTGCTTAACAACATGGCAATGAAATAAGTGAAGTTACAGAAATCCATATGTTCTCTTCAATTTAAAATCGCTGTAGGATAAACATTGGACCAACTGCAAGGTTGGTTTGAACCACAAGGTTGGCAGTTCAAATTCACTAGTCACTCCTGGGAAACCCTATATAGGATCTTTAGGAGTTCAAATCAACTAAATGGCACTTAACAACATTATCCATTCCAGAGTCCTAGAGTGGTGCTGTAGGGTAAGCGATGGATCGCAAGGTCAGTCTGAACCTGAAGACCAGCAATTCAACTCACCAGCTGCTCCTGGGAAACCCCATACAGCAGGGGTAAGGGAACCTTTTTTCTGCCAACATTTATAACATCATTCCACCCCTGCTACACAGGTTCAGAATCAACTCTCAATAGCTCTTAACAATAACATTATCCCTTCCAGAGTTCTGGAGTGGCACAGAATAAGTGCAGTACCGCAAGGCCAATCTAAGCCTCAAAGTGAGTGGTTCAAACTCACCAGCCACTCCTCAAAAACTCTATACAGGATCACTATGAGCTTGGAACTGACTCCAAAACCACTTAACAACAACCTGAAAGTGAATAAAAGCAACAAGATGAAAAAAAGCCAAAACCAAGAACTAAAAACATGTCACAAAGCAAAGATGGTGGTGGTGGTGGTTATGTGCCACAGAGTCGGTTCCGACTCATAGCGACCCTGTACAGGGTTTCCAAGGATGTAAATCTTTACGGGAGCAGAAAGGCTCATCTTTCTCCCCCAGAACAGCTGGTACTTTCGAACTGCAAAGATAGATTTAATTAAAACAGTTAAGCAAATTTTAGTGTAAAGCTCTTGCAGTTTGAAAACAGGTAGTTTTAGATTTTTTGAAGTTCTATCTTATGGATAGTTTATAAATCTGTACACTAAGTCTTGTTATATATACAAAATTTGAAAATCCTCATCAAGTGAAAAAAAGGGGACTAAGCACATTGAAAATCTGTTTTGGTATGGTGTTTCCCAATTCAACTTTTTTATTAAAAATAATGCTAGTGGTTTTGAAAAAGAATTGTTCAATTTTTTATTTTATGTAAGAAAGTTATTAAAAAGTTTTTTTTTTAGTTATAACACTAATTGTCATGAATTTTAAAATAAATACTGGGAGAGTACTATCATGAAAGCACTGCTGAAGATTTTTGTACATAAATATGACAACAAACCTAGAACTTCATGTCAGTTAAAAGAACAAGAAGCTCCCAAAAGAAAATGAACTGAAGTTCCTAAATACTGAGGTTCATTTCAAGTATAATTCCGACAGCCTTAAACAAAGTCGTATATGCTGTTCAATCAGTGATACACTAAATAGAACTTATAATTTGCAAGGCAAAAGGACTTTCTCCAATTGAATGCAAATCCTCAAAGAATGACTTCTAAATACCAGTACATTAGACCATGAAATGAACATAGTTAAATAACCCTTGATAATTCTTGCAACGCTTTGTTCTAAACTCAGAAATGGAACATTTTAGTAGACTCTGTAAGAGGATACTTAGTCAAAAGAGTGACAGTGTTTGACATAAGAGAAAAAGCTACTATTGTTTAATGCCGCTAAGTCGGTTCTGACTCATAGTAACCCTGTAAAGGGTTTCAGAGGAGCAGCTGGTGAGTTTGAACCACCAACCTTGCGGTTCAAATGGACCTTGAGGTTGAGAGCTTATCCTACTGTGCCACAGTCACAAAACTCACTGATATCTAAACATAATTAATATATTTTTGAAAAATGTCATTACTATAAAAAAAACTTGGTGTCTACAATAAAAATATTCAGTATTCTTCCAAGACATTATATGAGGTTCACAAGAGTTTATGTACAGTCTCATTTCAATAACTTGGTAAAAATAATGAGCTTAAATTAGTAGCATTAAATATAGAGTCCTGGTGTGACCTGTAGGATAAGCACTGGAATGCTAGCTACAAAGTGGTTCAAACTCACCAGCCTCTCCTCAGAAACCCTATACAGGGTGGCAGCAAGTAGGAACCAATTCAATGGCACTTAACAACAATAAAAACAGCACAAAATATACTATTCTATAATTGAAGTATTATGTACCTGAGGTTTTTGACTGAGTTTAAGTTATAAATTCAAATTTCAGTAGTCATTAGACTGCAATCTCAAATAATTTCGCTTTTGCAGATGTACAACTCAGGCTAAAATGTAAAACAGGAGCGACAGAATCATACTAGTCTAACTTGAAATGTAGGAAATAATCAGTGAATTGCTGTGAAATGTTTTCATTCATGCTTGCTACATTGCAAACATTTTAGTAGAATAGTGAGATTACAGGTGACTGAAGGATCCTTTCTTTTTTTAAAAAAAAAAAAAGGTGTGTAGTATTTGGAACCGTTGATGTTTAAAAGTCAGCTGTCCCAAGGAAACCCAGTACACGGAATCATAAGAATTTGTTAACTGCCCCTCCCCCTCTTTTTTTTTTTTTTTTACAATAAAGAGAAAAAAGAGGTAGAACGGGACCGCTCCAGAATCAGAAAGATCACTGCTATACAAAATACCCGACATCTAAATCACTAAGAAATCTTCATTCCCTTCTCCCTTCTGTTACTAATCCCTATAGCCGGGGTCCTGGTGTGACGCTGTAGGATAAGCACTAGACTGCTAACCACAGGTCAATAGTTCAAACCCACCAGTTGCTCCTCAGAAGCCTATACAGGGTCCCCATGAGTCGGAACCGACTGGATGACGCTTAACAGCAACAACAAGAAGTCAAAAAAGTTACTCTCTAGCTACCTCAAAGTAATATTCTTCTTCTTTAAGTAGCTCTGTATGTCCAGGGATAGGTAACATAAAAAATACACCATAAGCAAATGTCAATAATCACCAAAAGCTGAGTGCTCACAGATGAGCATTTGACAGCCCCCCAACATACATCAGAAAAGCCATTAATTTGCCTTATAAACATTGACTACTTAAGTACACTTGGAGCCGGTGGTTTGACGTATCTTCTACAGCAAACCCTACAAGAGAACAACCAACCAACCTTCCCAACTCTTTCAGGAGAATTATTAGAAACTGACGTCCGCTAGCCCAAGAGTTTGAGTGAGGGGCAATCGGGGTACCTGCAGGTAAGTTTTAAAACAAAAACCTAACAACCACTACCACCGAAATAACCATGAAATAACCATAAACCCGAAGAACTGAGAAAGAAGTTGGTAGGAAGGTTGGAGGAAGGCGAGGCCGAGGTTCGGTTCAGTGGGGACGGCACTGAAGGGACAGACAGCGATGGACTGAACATTTGGATATGCTGAAGAGAGTTCTGTGAGTGAGCTGACCTGAGTACACAATACACGACCGCTGATACGTGGCTCAGCGAAGACACGGAGGTGGGGCCCGCCCCGCTAAACCCCAGACACCCTGAATGAGTTCTCAAAGGAGGATCGCAGCCTGAGAAAGTCAATGAGCTCAGGGAGGCCCGCAACAGCCAAACAAAGCCACAGCATGGAATGCCCCCGCGCAAAAAGCCGCCCGGGCGGCCCTCAAGAAGTCAAAGCAGTCCGGGGGCTCTGGGCCCCTCCTGGCCCAGCCTTGGTCCTTTCCTTTCACCAACCCCCCTCAGCCTGGGACTGGACCCCTGGGTTGTCAGGAAGCTTCCGGTCGAGCGCACACACAGTCGCTGGGTATAAGAAGCAATATGCTCTCGGCGCCGCGAGTGACACTCACCGGCCCGAAACCTCGAATGAAACCTGCAGCTCCGGGGGCGGCGGCAACAGTGGCAGCAGGAACCGAACATCCAAAATGGCGGCTCCCTCGGCCTCACCACCGCTACTGCAGGCGGAGGGATCCTTAGGAGGGAGGGAGTTTTTAAGTAACTTCACACACTAACGCATAAACTCCGGGTTCCTGTCTTCTTATCCTTATCGATTCCGCACCTCCTAACTGCAAGTTCTCGTTCCTCTTCCCTTCTATTATCCAAGAATCCTGATGCAGCCGAGGACTATTTGCCACGGAGGAGGCGACTGCACCTGACAGAGCGACGCAAAGCGTAGCAAAGTTCGAGGCTGACACTGATGACGCGAGACGCTGCTGCCGAGTCACTGCTGCGATGAGTCTGAGCAAGAAAGATCCGGTCGACCCCGGAGCTGACGGACATTGGTTCCGCTTGTGGGGTGGGGTAGGCTAGGCTACCAGGAAGCCGATGGGTCACCTGAAGTAGGCGGAGCTAGATAAAGTAATGAAAGAAGTGAGAAAGGCGCGGCAGGTGGAGTGGAGAATTCCGAATCAAATCTTAACATAGTGAAATTCCAAACTCTTTAGGATCAGTTTTGCATGAAAATAATTAGAAGATGACACAGTCCCACCACTCAACCTCCTGGGTTGGACAAATCGTTTAACCTCTGTGGGCCTCAGTTTCCTCTTATGTAAAAAGAGCTGTTGAACTAATAATCAGGCAAAGCCCTTACAGAGTTGGCGTTCTGTAAATGTCTTCTTGAACTAATGACCTGAGCAATTAGTCTAAACAAACAGTTCCTAGCTTGATAAATAATTACTACTAACACCTAACCAAGAATATTTTTCCATGTGAATGTAAAGAGAGCCAAGTATCTTGGCCTATTTAAAAGAAAGGTGACCCTGAGGTTAGATTGCCATTAAAGTACCGCTGGTGCAGCAGGTTAGTGCGCTGGACTGCAAGGTCGGTTTGAGCAGGCAGGCAGTTCAAACTAACTAGCCGCTCCTCGGAAATCCTTTACGGGGTCGCTGTAAGTCGGAACTGACTCGAAGGCACTAACAACAACAAAACTAATAAAGCACACCACCAGGCTGTCATTGATAAGAGTTTTTCTTGTTAAGTGCCCATCGACTCATAGTTACCCTATTTAGGGTATCCAAGAGGGGCTGGAGGGTTTGAATCATCGACCTTGCAGTTAGCAGTCCAGTACTTATCCTACAGTGCCATTGGGAAGCCATTTTCATGCAGGGAATTCAAAACACTTCACAAAACAAATAAAATAAACTGGGTAGTCCACTGAACAATTTTGTCCTTGAACTATAGGCGCAAGTCAAGTGGCTGAAAAGAAAGACCAGGGGCATGATGGTGGTGATTATGTGCTATGGTGTCGGTTCCGACTCATAGTGACCCGGTATAGGATTTTCCAGGCTGTATAAATCTTTACAGAAGCAGAAAGCCTCATTTTTCTCCTGCAGAACGACTGGTAGTTTCAAACTGCTGACCATGAGGTAACTTCCCAACTCTTAACCAGTATGCTACCAGAGCTCCTTAGGGGCATGATTGTTGTTGTTGTTGTTAAGTTCCTTTGAGTCTGTTCCAACCCTGTATAGGGTTTCCAAGGAGCAGATGGTGAGCTTGAACCGTCATCTTATTGTTCAAACCGACTTTGAAGTCCCACGCATTAGGCCACAGCTCTACACCAGGAAGGCAAGTAATCTTTATACTTAGCAACTGTTAAATATCTATTTCACGTGTTTAAGAAGCACCTACATAGTGGTGGTAATGCCCTCGAATCAGTTCTATCTCATAGTGACCTGTATAGGGAGGGGCTCAAGGGTGTAAATCTTTACAGGAGCAGAAAGCGTCCTCTTTCTTCCGCAGAGCACTTGGTGGACTCAAACTGCCGCTGGCAGCCCAGTAACCCACCAAGCCACCCTGGCTTCTTCGTTATGTGTATGTACTTTGACCCTGTTGAGTCAGACTGGATTAGTAACATAGTTTTACAAATACAGGAGATATCGACTCAAAGACACAAACGAACTTGTCAAATGATCCTCCTACTATATTGCTGTTAAGTGTCTTTTAGTTCGTTCTGACTCACAGAGACCCTGTAAAGGGTTTCCTAAGGAGCTCATGGGTTTGAGCTTAACAGTCCAGTGCTTATCCTATAGCGCCACACCCAGACCTCTGCGATGTCCTGCAAATTAGGAAACAATATACTCCTCTCACCCCTCCCTTCCTCACGTTGAACTTGACAGTTTAGGGAGTGGACTACTTATGGAATTGAATCCCCTTCAATGCCCTCCCCTGCAAGAACACCACATGATGCCCTAAAGCTGATTCCTCTGAGGTATAGAAAAAAGGTGCTTTTTTCTACTATGCCAAATGACATAACATTCATGGGAAAATGGGAGACATTATAACAGGAAAACCCCATGATGTTGTTGTTTTTTTAACTTATATTTTTCAATAATGTGGTCTTCATTATCCTGGGATTTTTGGTTTCCCTGGTTTCAGTGGTGAAAGTTTGCATCAAGCAAAAATACAGCAGTTTTACAGTTAGGGAAAAAAAAACAGACTTTCGAAAAAGGTCCTTAAGATGATGCAGTTTTGTGATTCCAAATGCTAAAGAAGTTTCTGTTTTTAAAACATCAAAAGCCTGAGAAAATGTAACTAGCTTCTAGGAATAGAGAAAGATGGGGAGTAAAGGTCATGTCCAGAATACATGAAACAAGTCTGACCATTCTCATTTGTAAGGGGCATTCTAGGCTGTCCTTTTTCTAAGACAGATTTGTTCAATATTTATTATTTATACCTTATACACCTCAGGTGAACAAATATCAACAACAAATGAAGAAGCCCTGGCCAGGAGTCAGGCCACTTGACTTCTAGTCCTGGCTTGGTTTAAATAACTTCTAGCTCTGAGCAAAATAAAACATCTTTGGGTTATATGGCTTGCCTAGTTTTTCATTAGATATAGATAGGCTTGTTATCCAGAAGAGATCCAGTGTGTGAAAGCACTTTGAAAAGAATAAAGCATGATGAATATGAAAACTTGGTTTGCCATCTCACAATTCAACTAAAGCATTGATTGACTGCCTATAGCCTAGAAAAGAGTCCTGGTGTGGCATTGGAGGAGAATGCGCTAGACTGCAAGGTCAAGTTGAGCTACAAGATTGGCGATTCAAACCCACCAGCTGCTCCTCGGAAACCCTGTACAATGGCACTTAACAACAACAACAGAGTCTAGGGGAAAGAACCCTGATAGCATAGTGGATCACAAGTTGGGCTGCTAACTGCAAGGTCAGCAGTTCTGATCTACCAGCTGCTCCTTAATAGAAAGAGGAGACTTTCTGCTCATGTAAAGATTTAGAGCTTAAAAAAAAAAAAATTACAGCCTCAAAAACCCTATACAGTGTCACTATGAGTCATAACCAACTCCACAACATACAACCATCACCATCATGACAGCCTAGGAAACCCTATGGAACAGTTCTAGTCACTATGACTTGGGATGGACTTGATGGCACACAACAACAACAATCATAAGTAACAGGAGCATGAAGATAGAGTGTCTTACAGTTTACGAAAGTTATTTTCATATACATTGACTCATTTCCTCCTCACCAACCATGAACTTATAAACTACATAGACACTACAGCCTAGTAGAAAGAGCATGGATTTCTGGCTTTAGGCTATTAATTAAGTGTCCTAGAGTTGGTTCCAGCTCATAGAAACCTATGTTCCTACTTACAGCAACCCTATGTACAACAGGGAGTCCTGGTGTGGCACTGTGGATTCATGAGCTGCACTGCAAGGTCAGTTTGAAACGCAGTTAGTGGTTTCAAGCTCACCAGCCGCTCCTTGGAAACACTGTACGGGGTCGGTATGGGTCGGAACCGACTAGACGACACTTAATAAATGTACAACAGACTGGAACACTCCTGTTCCTGCGTCATCCTCACAATCATTCCTGTGTTTAAGCCCATGGTTGTAGCCACTGTGTCAATCCATCTCATTGAGGGTCTTCTACTTTTTCACTGACCCTCTACTTTAGTAAACATGAGAGACTGGTTCCTCCTGATAATATATCCAAAGTATATGAGATGAAGTCTCACCAGCCTTGCTTCTAAGGGCATTCTGGACTATCCTTCCAAGACAGGTTTGTTCATTCTTCTGGCAGTCCATGGTACTTTCAATCTTCTTTGCCAACCATAATTCAAAAGCATCAATTCTTCAGTCTTCCTTATTCATTGTCCAACTTTTACATGTATATGAGGTGGCTGAAAATATGATGGCTTGAGTCAGGTGACCTTAGTCCTCAAAGTGGCATCTGTATATTCAAACTCCTTAAAAAATCTTTGGCATCAGATTTTTCCAATGTAATAATGTTGTTTTGATTTCTAGATTCCTGCGTTCATGGATTGATTGTGGATGCAAGTAAAATAAAATCCTTGACAATTTCAATCTTTTATCCATTTATCATAATGTAGCTTATTGGTCCAGTTATAAGGTTTTTGTTTTTTTTTTTAATGTTGAGGTGTAATCCTGGTGCGGCACTATAGGATCAACACTGGACTGTAAACCACAAGGTCTACATTTCAAACCCACCAGCTGCTCCTCGGAAACCCTATACAGGTTCGCTATGAGTCAGAACCAACTTGAAGGCACTTAACAACAACAACAACAACAAGAAAGAAAGAAAAGTTAAACACTGAGAGCAAATGAAAGAAGTATTTCCAGGAAACAAGCACATTAGTATACCCTCGGGTTTAAATCTAAACTCTGTCCCTTACTTGCTCTGTATTTTCTCTTCCTCATCTGTAAAATGAGGGCAATAATGAAAATTAAAAGAAATAACACTTACTAGGAACTCAATTAACAGGGTTTTTGTCCAGTTCTATTATTTGCTATAGGATAAGCCCTGGACCACATGGTCAGTTTGAACCGTAAGGTTGGCAGTTCAAACTCACTAATCGCTCCTCAGAAACCCTATATGGGGTCGCTATGAGTCAGAAACAACTCAACAGCACTTAACAACAACAAAAGTGGGCTGAATATTAGTTATTTGAGACTGGAGAAGAGGTTGAAAAAAACAAGATGGCCAAATTATTTTTCAATGTTGTTGTTGTTAAGTACCATCAGTTTCAAATCAGTTCAGACTCATAGCCACCCTGTAAAGGGTTTCTGAGGAACAGCTGGTGGGCTTGAACCACCAATCTTGCTGTTGAAACTGACTTTGCAGTCCAGCGCATTATCCTGCAATGTCACGCCAGGACTCCAATGCAATTATTGTTGCTACTAAGTACCGTCCAGTCAGTTGCTATACCATAGCAACCCTGTACAAGGTTTCCAAGAATCAGCTGGTAAGCTTGAACCGCCAACCTTGCAGTTCATATGGCCTTGTAGTCTGGCGCATTAACCTACAGCGCCACACCAGGACTTACAGACTATGCCAAATATTTATTTCAGAATCCTAGTTTATATATCC